GAAGCTGCTGGTAGAATTCGCAGTTGGAATTATCAAAGGTTTTTGACACCTGAGAGACACCGTAGCAACTCATTTGCATTTGGAAGAGGGGGCTGGGGGTGGGGGGAGGACCAGGGAGGATGATTCAACCACTCAACCACTAGATGTAGCTGAAAACAACAAATCCTACACACTGTGCCTTAAAGTAACAAGTTTAAATAGCAGTTTTACTTGAGTTTTAGTGGCAGATTTACATCGATTAAACTATAAAATAGCACATTATAAACAAGGCAGAGTTAAGACAATAAAAGTTTGAATAATGTCATTTTATCCCCTACAATAAAAACCTGCAACATACACACAAAGTGTTGCCCTAAAAAAGCTAAACATCTGAAAATAGCTTACAAATCATCACAGCATGTGTCTCTCCTTAATACCAACCTGCGATGCAACACTTAAGTTGCTACAAGGTCACAAGTAAGAACAAAATCCACATCAATAACAACAATGAATTTATGCTAAGGTGAGGAAGTCTACATGGGTTTTACAGCATATGTTGTAATTTTCCCACCCATCAATTAAATACACACACAATCTACTGTATGTAACAGTATATGTTACACATGTAGGCCTACAACATATAATGTACATCACACTACTTTATATAACATATTTTTCAATTGTATAACATATTTTTCCAATAAAATATACATTCCTGATATACCGACATGCGTCAACCTCCCTCAAAAACAAAACAAAAAACAACGCAGCAGCTTTAGAAGAGTATTTTTAGTTAAAAAGTAATCTATTTGTGTCTTGAAAATGTTAATGAGGCAGCACATAAAGAAAAAATACTGCAGAGACAAAAAGTTATGTGTCTGAAAGAGAAACACACTCTTCAGCTCTGAAAGGGTTACCACTAGATGTAAAGATTTCTAGTTGTCCCTTCAGCACAAAGACAATGCAGCCCTTCTGTGCTGAAAGATGTGCTGTGAGGCAATTTAATCTGAAGGGCTCGCTGATTGGTACTGAAACCTTATTTTTTAAGTATTGATCCTGGGGGCAGCCTGCAGAATGCAAAAACCTCAGCCAGATGGATTTGCTGCCACATCTAACTGTTTAAATCAGGCAATCAATGTCAAGTACTGTATTTCCCCCTCGACCTCTTTAAATGTAATTCCACTCATTGGCGTTAAATAGTGAAAACCCTTAGGTTAATCAATCATCAGCTCTAGGAGCATCCTTTAGTTAATAGTCTGGTCTTATCCACTGAATGGCAACTGTCTTTGTGTGAGCCAGCTGATACTCCTTCTGTTCAACACAAAGAGGAAATGTGTGCAATGTGTTTTAATCCTATTACTGTATTCCCTCTATTTCTGCTCAAAAACCCTCTAAAAAGTTTGTTATGAAATGAAAAAACAAGTTGATTCTCTGCATCTGAAGAATGAAAAACACTTCATTGCAAAAATTATTTAAAATAATAAACATTTAACTTTTGTTTGACATGTAAGTGTGTGTTAATTTAAAGAATAAAAAATGTATAAGATGATGGGATGCCTAGGTCTTATTTGGCCTGAAAGGAAAAATAAAGCACATGTTGCAGATGTGATTTAAGTCAATGTTATTTTATTTTTACACTCAGTTTATACACTTTAGGGAAAAAAGTTCATCCAGTTCAACAAACCAACATTTTTTTCTGCATTAATATAATTTGTACAAAACAATCATCTAAATTTCACCTACAATCACTATCGAATTACTAAATGTTTTAATTATTTCTGAATGTCAGTGTCTGTGTTTGTCTGTCTGTTAGTAAAATATTTCAAACCCTCAAAAGAATTTAATGAAATGTCTAGAAAGTTTCTAATTGATTAACGTTAAGTTAACCTTCAAGATGTCTGTGATAGCTAATCAACCTTAGAAAACACAAATGTGGCTACAGCTCAGTCATTTTTCACATATATTGGGCTAGAAATTGCCATTTGTAGCTGAGAGTAATCCTTAAAATATTGAGCAATGAAAGATCACTCAAGAATGTTGTTTGGGACTTTTGCATGCAAGAAATTTTATTTAATCATTTATGTTTTTACAGCAAATAAACAATTATAAATACATTACGGACTTCAAAGGCAGCAGTACCTGAAGATTTACAATGAATCAATTAGTTATTTATTATGCAGCACATTTAAAACAATTTGGGTTGACTGAAGCACATAGTTTTGCTTTGATAAATTAAAAAAAAATTAAAAAAAGATGGGACATGAGGAAGGATTTTAAAGACTCTACAGTCTTAGTTGTGAGTAAAAGATAAAAACTTGCACTTTAAGGCAACTGCTGCAAAAGTTTAGTCAAAATGCAACTTGATTAATCCGAATATTGGAACGTCTAGAACAGAGGTTCTCAAACTTGGGTCCCAGGACCCCCAGCAGTCTGCAAGCTGCATCTTGGGGGTCCTCAAAAATGTTCAATAAATAATTTGGTTTTTATTTAAAATATTTGCATTTGGGGAACAATACACCGATTAAACAAACACTAAACCAAACAAAAATACTATTCCCTGGATCTCAGGGGTTAAAATGACAGTAAATTACTTTAAAAACAGCATGCGGTTTATGAGGGGGTCCCTGGAAAATGTCCATCCTTGTAAGGGGTCCCCAGATCCAAAATGTTTGAGAACCCCTGGTCTAGAAAAAAGAACTGCTTGGATGACTGGCGTGCGTTTCTTGCTGTGCAGAAATTGAGAAAAGTTAATAAAATATTTAAATTATTCAAACTCCAAATGCAAAGAAGAAGCCAAGGAGGAGGTGCTAAGATGGTGTTGTGTGTTCTTGAGTCTCTTTAACAATGAGCTGTTGTGTTTTTGGACAAATTTGTGCAGGCGATGCAGAGCAGACTGGTCTAAACCAACCAAACAGAACGTATACCTAACTACATTTTAACAATACAGATTTTTTGAGCTCTTTTGTGAGCATTATGCAACTCTGACACCCTTGAATATAGAAAAAAAAAATACTTGATCTAACCCCAGCTCTTTTTATTTCTTTTTTACAGGTCACAAGTGTCCAAGCAACAAGGTCGGACATTGTAAAGTCTGGAAGCCCCAAATCTACCCTAAAGCACATGTGGACAGAAAATGGTAAGGAAATGTCCATCAGTAGGCTGCTGTCCCAGACTTTACATGGCAAAGAGAACAGCACAGCCTTGGACCTTCACTATAACACTCCAGAGCCGTACTCAGAGCAAGACCTGTGGGACTGGCTGAGGAACTCCTCAGACCTGCAGGACTCACGGCCACGAGTTAAACGACGGCCCATGGTTAAGACGGGTAAGTTTAAGAAGATGTTCGGCTGGGGGGACTTCCACTCAAACATAAAGACTGTCAAGCTCAACCTGCTGATCACTGGAAAAATTGTGGATCACGGCAATGGCACCTTCAGCGTGTACTTCCGACACAACTCCACAGGCCAGGGTAACGTTTCCGTCAGTCTGGTCCCACCAACCAAGATAGTGGAGTTTGATGTCACAGCACAGCAATCTGTCATCGATGCCAAGGATTCAAAATCTTTTAACTGCCGTATAGAGTACGAGAAGGTAGAGAAAGGCTCAAAGAACACACTGTGCAACTTCGACCCATCCAAGACCTGCTACCAGGAGCAAACCCAGAGCCATGTGTCCTGGCTCTGCTCCAAACCTTTTAAAGTCATCTGCATCTTCATTTCCTTCTACAGCACCGACTACAAACTGGTGCAGAAAGTGTGCCCAGACTACAACTACCATAGTGACACTCCATACTTCCCATCTGGCTGATGTTCCTGAACAGCACACAAACATCAATGGAGGAATGGAGCACAGACTGGGATTCCAACTCATCCCAGAGAATGTGTATGTTAGCCATACTGTCCCTCAACGTATCCATACAATCATTTCAGTAGATTTTTATTTCTTAAGCAATGATTTGAGATCTGTAGGCAGAGCAGTTACTTTTAAATATTACTAAATGTGGTGTAAGAAGCTCAAAATTAATCAAAAATTATGTGAAAACTCTAATTGCTATCCTTTAGCTTTTATTTCCCTCTGATTTATGTTGTGTTCCCACTGATCCATGCTTAGATTGTAGAACCTTACAGGTTTTTTTGGGTTTATGTGTCACTAATAAACTGTCGTTTTGGTTTGTTTGATGATGATTTACCAGTCTTAGTCAAGTTACATTTGAATTGATTTGTTTTTCTATGTCATACTCAATGCATTATTCTCTGAACAAAACCTTCTGGAATGAATACCTCTGCTGTGCTTCTTAGGCTCTGCAGTTTTTTTTTTCCCTGTGTAACTGAAAAGCAAAAATAAACTTTTAATTTAAAAACAAAGAAAAAAATTAAAACAAACCCAGATGTTTTTACAAAAACTGCAAAGCAGTTGATGATGATAGAGGATTCAAATGTGGGTTTGGTGCTTTTTAGAAATGTGAGGTGGTCCTATCTATTTAAGGGTGAGCTGAGATTGAGCATAAGCCAAGCACTTCTAAGACTAGTCAGAACATATATACCACTGTTGATCTGCATTTCTCATCAGTTTTCAATAAGGTATGATCAGATGTTGAGTCAGCTGGTTCAGGATTGGGTTGATCAAACACCTGACGGATTAGGGGGTTTGGCTGTGGGGGCGGGGCTTGCTCATTTTCACTCAGTATATAAACTGTAATGTATTGAATTCTATATCTTAGAGCCTAATTTGTATGAATGATTTGTATTGTACATAGTTTATGAATTTATGCTGCTTCTGTACATGTCCCCCATGAGCTGTGTGTTTAACCCCCCTTCTGCTCTTGTTCACCCCATTGCTCGTTCTTGGTTCCTCTATCGAACGATATGATGTTGCTGCCCTAGATGTGAATTTCATGAAAACAGCACTCCTGTACACAAGCTGTAAAACTGACTAAATATATAAAAACTGTTCTCTGATTTCATTTTCCCCTTTTATTGGGGTATGGGGGGAGGGGGGTGGAGACAAAAGTGTAAACAACAACAGTAAAGTTTATCACGTGAATATTTGTGCATGGTGCATTCTTCCTGATTTTACTCCTGTACCGAAGAGTGATATTCCAAGAATATATTTTACTTACAGTACCACAATACTTATCAGCTGCTTAAAGACCAGCTACAAAATCAGGTGCACAGGTAAAAACATTGATTTGAAAAAATCAGTCTGAAAAAAGAGAAAAAATACGCAGCAACAGAAAGACATTTTCATCTAGGTCACATGTGTCAAACACAAGGTCTGCGGGCCAAATGTGGCCCGTGGGTGATTCCCGTGTGGCCCACCAGAGGGGGTTCCCTCCCAAAAAAAATATTATTATTTATTTATTTTACTTAACATGACATTTGTTTCTTATATCAATGGTAAACTTTAAATAAATGTTTAAACGCAACAAAATTAATTTAATAAAAATAAATGAAATAAAAATAAATTAAAAAAAATTCCTGTCCCTGAGCTGTTGGCTTGAAGAAACTGAGCAGTTTAGTTGGATAGCACAGAACTAATGTCTGAAAATAAGCTGCTTTAAAGTCACCATCAAACATAAACTAAATTTGCCATAATGCAGCTACTGACTAGAAACTCATCAGTGAGTAAAACTTTTTTTGTTTTACTTTTAATAATATTTCTGTATTTATTTCAGATTTAGTCAGTCTGATAAATGTTTAATTAAAACATTGTTTAGTCAAAGTTAAACATGAAACRTCAAAGTTCATTACAASTGGCCCTTCAAGGGCCACCATAACGCTCATGTGTCCCTCAGTGAAAATGAGTTTGACACCCCTGATCTAGGCTATCAATTAGGGATGTAACGACACATTTAAATTACAGTTTGATGCAAGGTGAGAAAAAATAAATACTAATACCAAATATACAGTATTTGCTAGTAGTGTTGCACAAAGGTAACAGGTAATGTAATAAAACTAAGAAAAACAAAACATCTGGACTTCTATTGATTTAATAGTTTGGGTTAATTACCTAAACCACCTATGGAAAACAAGCTCCCTATGAGTTTCTTAGTTAAATGAGTGTTCCTGTGTTGTTTAATTATGAATGTTTTTCCATGCAGATGATTTGAATCAAAGAAATATTTTCAAGTCTTGTGTTTCCTTTGAACTAGTTGTCCTTGCTTAGTGTTGGTGTAAAGTGCATTATAGAAGTTGGTAACACATTTCTTTACTATAAAACTTGACTAAAGGTAGCATATAGATTCTGTCTTAGCCTCAGGTAAGGTGACCAGATACTGAAAACCCGATTGTGGATATTTCAGGTTACCAAGGTCATTGGTGAAACAGGCGAAGCTCTCTGTTTACCAATTGGTCTACTTTCCTATCCTCACCTATGGCCACGAGCTTTGGGTGTGACCAAAACAATACGATTGCAGATACAAGCAGTTCAAGTGGGTTTTCGCCACAGGGTAGCTGGGCTGTTTCTTAGAGATAGAGTGAGTTGAATTTTCCAGGAGACTCACAGTAGAGCTGCTGCTCCTCCACATCGAGAGGAGCCAGTTGAGGTGTTTTGGTCATCTGGTAAGGATGCCTTCTGGATGCCTCCCTAGAGAGATGGTTCAGAGGTGTCCGACTGGGAGGAGACCCTGAGGAAAATCAAGGACAAGCTGGAGAGACTGTGTCTTGCGTCTGGCCTGGGAACACCTGCTGGAAGAGGTGGCCAAGGAAAGAGAGGTCTGGACCTTCCTGCTCAAGCTGCTGCCCTGCGGCCCGACTCTGAAAATGGATGGACGGGATCAGTGAAACAGTAAAACTACTCAAATGACTAATAACCAATAACCGTATGAAACCCTTCTCTTGCACTGCACACCAGTTTATCTTTTTTTTACAATTAGAATTTCTAAAAGCAAAATGAATCCTTTCAAGTTTGATCTTTAATAACCTGACTTTTCCCCAACACAAAATCAGTTTTATGCAAATCGTTAATGAGTAAGTGCCTGATTTATACCACGACAAATCGTGACTCATTATCTTTCACACATTGAACATGTTGTGTACAAACAACATGTGTGTAAACAGACTGTGTGAAGCGCCATTTTCTCCAGAGAAATGGGAACACACAAGCTCTGTCTGATCCAGCTCTGTGAATATGATGATTTCTTGGAACCATCTGTGATCCGGTACCATGTGTGATCGAGCAGATCCTAATATCGGGTCTGCCAGGAAGTTGCACACTGGAAGATGGGCTCATTCCACTCCCAAAGTGATGTGTATAGTAATGTAAGAATGAGGGTGTCTGTTCCACGACACAGTGGCACCTGGCATCCAATCCTCCAACTAAGCAGTTAAAATCAGCAGTCGGCTTTAAATAGATTAGGTTCTCTCGGGTAGAGAAATCTGCTGCGTTTTCTTGGCTCACAACTTAGCAGTAATTAAAATGAATGCCAGGTTTGTGTGTTCATTGCAGGTCCGTAGGGTGCTTTTATAGACATTCTCATTAAAGGATCTGCCTCCAAAAGTTTGCCCTCAATGCTCACTTTAACAAGCCAGCAGGGGATGTGCATCCAATCAGGATTGAAGCAAATATAAAACAAGTATTCCAGTTAATTCGAGATGTAATGAATGTTGAACCTTTTTTATTTTTTGACCTTACAGCACCTCTGAAGAAATGTTTTAATTTGATATAAGGAGTATTGTTAGTGTATTACTAACACTGATGCTAACCTGGTAAAAAAAAAAGGACATGTCTTTCTGTTCAAAGGTAAAAGAGCAATTTCATATTTTGTACAAGAAATGACGCAATAAAAATATTTCTAGAGTAATGTTTCTCAACCTAAAATTTTTATCAACTGTACATAGCATCCTTAAAAGATAAAATTACAATATGTGGATATTTTATCTCTGAACACCAGGGATAAGACAGGAAGCCAATATTTAATAGATCAGATCTGAATACCTTCAAGCAACACCACAATAAAAATAGAAATGATTCTGTTGTGGGAATCACAGCCTCGACTCAGAAAACCCTCTGGAAACTATTCTTATTGAGCTCAGTTGATTCCTGCTTTAACCTAAAATGAGGTGTGGTTGATGCACAAGCAAAGAAAAAGAAAACAAAGGGTTGAGCATTTTAGTCAGTTTCACTAGAATAGATGTATTTATTTTGCCCCACTTTATAACAGAAGACATATGCTGTATTTCAAGGTACTTTTTGATAAAGATCAATCATGATGCACTAATATTAATTTCCAGGTCTGTTCAGTTTACCACACTTCTGACCAAATCATCCATCCATTTCCGTAACACGTCTTTCTGTCAGGTTCCCATATCCAGCAGTCATAGTGTGATGGGTGGGGTACACCCTGGAGGGATCACAAATCCAGAGACACATGGTAAAAAATGACGCAAACATCCATACTTGATGATTTAGAGTTTCCAGTTAGTCTAACATTCATGTATCTGGTATGTAACTGGAGTACTCTGAGAAATCCCATGCATCCTTGAAAAAAAATATGCAAACTATACCCAGAAAGGTAAGTACAGGAAGTAAAGTTTTTTTTACTTACTTTACCTTTCATAGACATAAAATCACAAAGTGTTTCACAATAAAAGCACAAAAAAATTAACATTCAAAGTACAAATAAAAACAGTGTAAAACATTTAAAAATAATCCAACAGATAACTAAATGCCTGTTTGTAAAAAAAAAAAGAAAGTCTTCAGATGTTTTATTTTAAAGCATTTGATAATATGTTTGGGGCAGTGCATTCCAGAGTTGAGTGAAACTATTTTGAAAGACCGATCCCCATGGGATTTGAAATGGGGGCAGGGTACCACCAACATCCTCTGGCCTGTTGACCCCGAAAATGCAAGCTTGGTGAAGCTGTATCAAATCTGAGATATAAGAGGGAGCTTGTTCATGTAAAGCTTGTTTTACACTTTGAGTCCCATATCTTGTTCCCCCTGCTGAGTGACAAAAAATCAGACGTCTATTTCCTGACCGAGTATAAACGAGCTGAACACATGGTAAGCCTTAAGTGAATATACTTCCTCCCACAGCTCATATAAGTAGGAAAACAGCAATAATGATGGCTGGATATTGTGTTGATCCCTCAAAAACCAGTGTTGTTTTGGGTAAAGTTTCCATGGAGGAAAAGCTTTTTTTTTTTTTTTGTTAATGGTAGTGATGGAAAAAAGACGTGAACATCAGCTGCATGCTCACGTTCAATAAGATCAAACCAGCTGCTCTTAGCTCTTTTAACAACAGGCTTCAGACAAAAAAAATCATTTTAAACTAAATAACACTCAGAAGAAAGAGCTGCTCTTAGTCCAGCTCTGGAGCATTGAACAATGAACAGTTAAACAATGCTTGTCAAAAATCATACATGTCAAGTTGTACAGATTGTCCATAATTTACACGGATTTTCCATCATTTTGCAGGTGTACAGACATATAGAGCAATCGGACGGATTTTCTCATGTTTTATGGATTTTTCCAAAAACTCAGTTTCAAATTTATTTAATGTCAGAGCCTATAGGATGTAAAAAAAAAACAACAATTAATAACATTAAATATCCACTTCCAACCCGCTCTGCAGCTAGAAATCTTTGAGGCTCCTTATACAGGTAAATGTCCCAAGGGGTCGACATGTATGAAAAATCTGAGTAAAAACATCAACATCACCAAATTCTGACAAAGAGAAAACAGAACAGAGAACCTTTCAGCTGTGTTCTGATCAATAATGTACCTCTGAACCTGGTTCTTTTGTGATGTGGGGTCTTGAAGAAAAACAAAAATCAAACAGTACACAGCTGTACTCACTGACGTGTACATCCGCTACACACAGCTTTACAAGATTTAAACCAAGAGAGAAAATAAGGTCCAGGGAGTGGCTCTTTATATGTGCTGGTCCAGAGGCATGTTTAAAATTAAGAATCAGTAATGGATAATAAATCATCGGCTACTTTACAGTGAGCATTGTCAACAGGAATGTTAATATCCGCAACAGTTAAAACTTTGTTCAGTTTGATGATCGAGGATAAAAAGTCAGTGAGATTGGTGAGAAA